AAGTACTCTCTCAATACATATCGTTGATCAGAACGGAGATTTATTGAACTTGCGTGGGAAAACGTATCAATTCGCATACATATTCGCGCAATAGAATGATAATTTACAATAAAAGCAACGGTATACTTCATCAACCGCGCACTAGCAGTCGTAAAGCTAAAGGAACAGGATTAAATCGAAAGGGTCTTACATTTAAAATCACTGGGCTTCAAAATTCAAATCTGATAATAATAATAATAAAAAGCATTAAAAATGAATGAAATTTTAAATGTTCGTGAGAGACCGTTTTCAGATGAAAGTATTTCGAAAAAGGAATATCATACATATTCCTCATATCATCAATCATTTAAAGCAAATGATGAAATACGTATTTGTATTCAAAATCAGGACTTGTATGTACTCCCTCACGAAAGCTATCTTAATTTTCAAGGGGTTGTTAAGAGAGTAGCAGTCGATGGTACAAGCACCACTGATAATATCGATGTTACGTTTCGCAATAATTGTATGGCAAATTTTATTGATGAAATTAGATATGAAATAAATGGTTACGAAATTGATAGAACACGGTTTGTTGGCATGAGCAGCACACTTAAAAATTATCTATCGGAAAGTCGTCAGGATAGTCGCAAACTTTTAAATGCTGGATGGAGTGGTGGAAATGATATTATTACAAAAGGTAATTTTAATTTCTCGCTACCCTTAAAAAATGTAATGGGGTTTGCTGAGGATTATAGAAAAGTTTTACTGAATTGTAAGCATGAACTTATACTTTTGCTGACAAAAAATCTGGATGATGTATATGTTAAAAACAAAGCAAACCATACATATGTTTTGGAAATGACTAATATTAGCTGGAAAATCCCTCATGTAACACCCAGTGATGCTGCAAAAATTAAAATGTACGATATAATAAAGAGTGGCGTAAATTTACCGATAGCTTTCCGTAGTTGGGATACATACATTAACCCAAAACTGATACAGGGCAATCAACACGTCTGGAACTTAAAGATAGGAAGTAATAGAGAACGACCGAGATTTGCCATTATAGCCTTCATGTTGAATGGAGAACTAATTACAAATAATTTATCCAACCTGAAAGTCCACTTGAATTCAGAAACGTATCCATATGATGACTTAAATGTAAACTTTGAAAATGATAAATATGCTCACCTTTATGATATGTATGCAATGTTTCAAAAGAGTTATTACAACCGCCCAGCAGAACCATTTTTATCACCGGCAGAATTTAAAAGTAAACCTATTATTGTAGTTGACCTTTCATATCAAAATGAAACAGTTAAATCGGGACCTATCGACGTGAGAATTTCAATCGATTTGAAAAAAGCAAACAATGAAAACACTCAAGCATATTGTCTCCTTATTCACGATCGTTTAGTTGAGTATAGTCCTTTAAGTGGGTTAGTTCAAAGAATTGTCTAACAATATATCAACCACATAAAATGGAGAAAGATCTAGTTGCAATTGATGTACAAGGATTTTTTGATAACAACGACAAGTTCATTCTAAAGGAAATTGGAGTTGTATTTAGCAAAGAAAATAAGTTTAACAATAATTTCGTTATACAACCTCCATTTGATTTCACTCGTCTTAATAACAAGTCCCGAAAAACTGCTCTCTGGCTTACCAAAAACCATCATAAAATTTTTTGGAACGATGGAATAAACAACTTTAAGCAAACAAGAAAATATATTAAACAAATCACTTCGGGAAAGGTGGTTTTATGCAAGGGAATTGAAAAGAAACGTTTTCTAGAAATCTTTCTCAGATCACCGCACATAAGAGATGTTGAGGAATTGGGTTGCCCACCATTAAACACCGTAAACATAAACCAATTCCCATTTTGCTCAATACATATTAAAAGCGGTATTTGTGCTCTGAATAATGCGCACAATATTTTAAATTTTTGCAATGGAACTATGGTCTAACACTTATACATATACAATGGATAACAGACAAAGTGGATTAATAAACCGAATTAATAATTTCACATCCCAATTTGGTGAGGAAATTTTTAAAGAAGATTTAAAATATCTCATTGATACGAGGAATATGTTCATGGATAAAGGAGAAGACGATCTTAACAAAACGGTATATGGTAATCATTTTACGTTTTGTAATAATGGATTCGGCGAAGATGCGTGTGCCTGCTTTTTCTATAAAAATCATCGAGACGGAGCCTTAAAACTAATGTCAACATATTTAGTGTATAAGAAAAGCCTGTTACAAATTTCCAAATAAACATGAGCTAAATTCATGACCTAAATTCAAATTAACATATTCTTTTGTTTGGGGGATGGGTGATTTTTTCAGCTATTTCTTTCAGGTCAAAAAGTTAAAAAAAAAAAATATACTTGAATTTAAAATTTACATATTCTTTTTGTTATTGGGGTGGGAGTTTGTTTCTCAGTGGCAAGCAAAGGGATCCCTTTTCAAGGGTGCTTGCTTTCAGCTGTTTCTTTGGGAGTTTGTTTCTCAGTGGCAAGCAAAGGGATCCCTTTTCAAGGGTGGTTGCTTTCAGCTGTTTCTTTTGGACGTGACAACAGCCCGTGACATTCTAACACGTACCCGTGTGAGCACCACACTTTCTTAATCTAAGCAAAGGACACCCGGCACACCCCAGTAATTTCTCCCCCATTAACTAGGATAACCCAAATATATCGCTATGATCACCTGACACACCCCAGTAATCCCTTTTCTAGGATAACCCAGCTTAAGAAAGGCTAGGAATTCTCTCCCCCATTAACTAGGATAACCCAAATATATCGCTATGATCACCTGCTACACCCCAGTAACTTCTCACCCGCTTAACTAGATTCCCTCCCCTCGTTTCACCCTATTTTTCTAACTTCTCCCACGTTCGATCCCGTCAACCTACTCGTCAACCACTTAAGCAGAATGCCTCCCCTCTTTTCACCCCATTTCCTAGATACAAAAGCTGGATATAACTATTGTGGACCCTAATTTACGATCACCCGTCACACCCCAGTAACTTCTTCCCGCTTAATAAGAGTCCCGATTTCTTAAACGAAATTCGGGGGGAGCGAATTCCTGAATACAATTCCTAGATATAAGCAACTTATCACCCTAATTAACGATCACCCGTCACACCCCAGTAATATCTCCCCCGATTAATTAGAGTCCCGATTTCTGGACCGAATTTCGGGATTCCTGATTCCTGAATACAAATCCTAGATACAAAAGCTGGATATAACTATTGTGGACCCTAATTAACGATCACTCGTCACGCACCCATTAACTTTAATTACCCCCCACACCTGTCACATTGTCCTGATTTATTACCCTAATTAGCATAATTAATTACCTCCCCCTCCACTTTAGATCCAGAACCCGCATTAAATACGATTCAGAATCCCCATTTTTATACTACTGGTGACCCACACACTCCATTTCTTTTCTTTCCTCACACTCTTTCTAAGTCACCCACACACTCCATTTTTCCCCCTTTCTCACCATTTTTCTCACCTACACACTCCATTTTTCCCCACCTTTTTCCCACACTTTTATTGGTTAATTATGTTAATTAGGTCATTATAACACCTATGTGCTAATTAGGTCATTATAACACCTGTGCAACCATGCGTGACTAATTGGTGCTAATTGGTTTGACACGATCAATTAAAAGTGAGCCAGCACCCGTATTATACTACTACTAAAAACAAGTTGTTGAGAGCAAGCGACACAAACCCTTAAATAGGGGATCCCTTTGCTTGCCACTGAGAAACAATCACCTACCCCAAGCAAAAAGAATATGTAAATTTGAATTTAGCTCATGTTTATTTGGAATTTTGTAATAGGTTTTTTTTTTATACACTAAATATGAAAACATTAGTTTAACTCTTAAGTTAAAATATATGAAAGAGTTCTAAATATAGTCCCCAAATTAGTAAAATTAATTAGGGAAATGGATTATGAGAGTTGGCCGGTGGTGTTTCCTGGAGTACGGCGGGTGACCGTTACTTAGACATAAAAAATACGACGGAAGGGAATTCTATATGCTAATATGGTGTGATCAGGATGGCAACAGGTAGTTGTTAGCGACCCTTTTAGTGGATCAGTGACCTTTTACTTAGTGTTTACGCCGCTTGCCCCGCTCTTAAATCCCCCTCTTCCAATGCTCGCTCTTCCCTCGCTGGGAATGCCTACTTCCAGGCTCTCCCGCTCTCCCGCCTTCCCACGCCCGGGATCTCTCCACAGCGCTCTGAAGCACAGCGCTCATTAGTTATACCCGTTACTCGTAGAGTAAAAGGGTATATTGTATTCGTGCAAAAGTATGTAACAGGGAGAAGGAAGCGTTTCCGACCCCATAAAGTATATATATTCTTGATCAGGATCACTAGCCGAGTCGATCTAGCCATGTCCGTCTGTCCGTCTGTCCGTCTGTCCGTCTGTCCGTCTGTCTGTCTGTATGAACGCTGAGATCTCAGAAACTATAAAAGCTAGAAGATTGGCATTTTGCATGCAGATTTTAGGAGTTCCTACGCAGCGCAAGTTTGTTTCAAAATGGTGCCACGCCCTCTCTAACGCCCACAATCGCTTATTTACGATTTTAAAAATTTTAATATTTTGGAAAAGTAAAAATGCAGTTTTATTGTGTTTATCAATACCTATCGAAATGTAGAAGAAATTTTTCAAATCGGACCATTCGTTAAAAAGTTATACGTGATCAACGTTTTCTATCTCTATCTCCATCTCCCTCGCACTCCCTTTACCTGAGTAACGGGTATCTGATAGTCGGGGCACCCGACTATAACGTTCTCTCTTGTTTTAAGTTCAGTTCTCACTGTAAAACTATACGAAATACATCGCCCGGCCGGTCCGCGCTAATTACGGAAAGTTCAGTGTGTTCTTCTTTTCTCTCGCGCTTCGCGATCGTCGAGTGTTTCATTTCTCTCCCCCACAGCTTGCCACCGGCTATTGCAACAAGCCGCACCGCCACGGAAGCTGCCTTCAACGCCTAAAAGAAATACTTGCGACGCCCCCCACCAAACATTTTGATCCATTCGAGCCGAATTGCTCCACCAGATAAGTGCCACTTATTAATTTTTATTAACTGCCGGTCGACAGTCAGCCATTCGAAAACATAATTCGTTTGACTTTCTGTACGATTTGTCTAAAATCCAAGTCCGATTTAATCCGACAACGGCAGTTAGTAAATTACATTTCCAATTTCGTCTTCTATTTCTTCGTCTCCTTTAACGTGCGGCCATATTGTCTATTTTCCAATTCCCTTTCTTGTGCATATTGATGTACAAGTTTCATATTCACATTTGGCCGTACATCCAGTAAAATACATCCAAAATTAAATCGAAGAAATTGCAAAATATTAATCCAAATTAAAGTGTGCAAATAAAAAGTCAAGCGTACAGTGAGAAAGAAAAGTCAGTGAACAGTGAAAAATAAATCAAATTCAAAAATTAAAATTCAATTAATTTCCCACAAAAATTAAGTGTTCCGCCAATTTAGGCCCACAAACACTGAGACTGATTTTTTTTTTTCTCTGTATATCCGCTGTGACAAATATTTGCATACATAATTCCAAATCCAAATACAGTCCACAATAAATCGAAAATACACAACACATACCCGCCGGCAAAATTTAAAATAAAAATTTTCCGCCATCTTGATTGCCATTTACTCCACATCTTATATACATATTTATTACACATATTATACATATTACATATTCCACATATATTACATCCATATTCCACATATATTACATCCATATTCCACATATATTACATCCATACATATTATTTCTATGAAAACACCCAATCCCGAACATTGAAGTATTTCCGTCGGCCATAAATATATATATTAAATAAATTCCCAAAGCCGACGTGAAATAACTTTTGAGTCTCAGTGTGTTCTTTTTATTTCCCCTTCAACATACATTCACACATACATACATACGAATTCCCCAAATTCCCGCGCATTCCAGAATTTCTCGCACATAGCCCGCAAAGGGGCTTTATGCACGAGTTCATTTTTGGGCATTTGTGTTTTTTCAACGATTAAAGTGCTCTTTATTCCGAGCCATTCCAAATAAATTCCAAATAAATAAAATAAAGTAAAAAACCAAAAAATAAATACCAAGCCCAATTGTAATAAACTTAAATAAATACTGAGAGTCAAAAAATTAAAATTAAATTTACAAAATCCCTCATCGCTAAAGTTCCAAAAAATATATCATCCGCATACCACTGCAACGTATTTTTTGGTCTCCGAATAATTAAAAAAAATAATAAAGAAGAATACTAACGATATCTAATCCCATCCTAATTCGGCCAGCCACCCCTCATAAAATACTAATCGAAAAATACTTCATCAAGAACAGTATTTTTCAGTATTTTATTTTTAGTATTTTTGGTATTTTTTGCGATTTTTGTTCCATCGTTCCACCAAAATCCTGGGGATTATTTTTACAATAATTCAGCCACGCATATCGACTGTTTTAGCAGGTCGAGACCCTATTTCCACCAGTCCGTAATTTCTTTTCTGATTTTTGTCCGAAATATCAGCGCGCACATTCCGAATCAAAATAGCATCCTAGTTTGGTATGTCCAGGGAAAGTTCTAACAAACTACCCCCTGTTTCATCACCGAAAGTTCCGAAAATCACTATAAGGACGCCCACACCTACAAAGGTCAAGACGCCAATTACCAAAAGGGCTCCTTCTCCTATCGAAAGATCCACGCGAGCCAGCACGAAAATGGTTGCAACGGCTGCCGAACTCGCCCTAAACCAATTTATTGAAGTCTCGGATCGACTTTCCGAATTGGAGGCGCGAATAAATATTCCCGCGGCGGTCCCTCCTACGTTGTCCGTCCTCAATATTCGCCGAGACGAAATCAAAGAGGTATGGGTCCGCATCAAAAAAGAGTACGATGCGTGTACCGCGTGCCTTGTAGCAGCCGGAGAAAGTGCAGCTGACATGTTGCCAGTTCTCAAGGCTAAGTACGGTTACTGCTACAGCGCGTACGAAAGGTGCGGCGCCCAAATAGCAGACCAAATAGCGCAGACTCCGCAAAATCCGCAAGCTACCTCCACTCCAGATACTCCTCAGACTTACATTCCGTCAGGCTGCCACCTTCCGCCGTGCGATACCGAGGTTTTTACCGGCGATTATCTTCGTTGGCCAACCTTCAGGGATCTATTCACGGCAATTTACATCAACAATCCTCGACTCACTCCTGTCGAGAAATTATTCCATCTCAATGCTAAGACGAGGGGCGACGCTCACAATATAGTTGCAAATTCACCCCTTACTAACGATGGCTTTCGCTCAGCGTGGGATAACCTCACTGAGCGTTTCGAAAACAAGCGATTGTTAGTAAACAGTCAATTGAAGATACTCTTCAATGTGCCGTCCGTCACACAGGAGTCTGGGTCAGCTTTGAAAGAACTTCAAAGTACCATCCAGGGGTGCCTTACGGCGTTAGAAATGTCCGGTATTCAGGTCGAAACTTGGGATTGCCTCTTGGTGTATATGTGCTCATCCAAACTCCCAAAGCTTACGCTTTCCCTATGGGAGCAGTCCCTTCACAACAAAGCCGAGATCCCTACGTGGCATGAGCTGAACGTTTTCCTAACGGAACGTCACAGAACCCTAGAAGCCATAGATGATGTTCGACCATCAGGTTCTAGTCAGGCTCAGCCCAGGGCATCCACATCCAACTCGGCGTCTCGGAGAATAAATTCTTATGAGACAAGGGTAACGCCTCGACAACCTAGAGGGTGCGATCTCTGTAATAGAGAAAACCATCCAATACGCACATGCGCCCAGTTTCTCCGGATGACGGTCGACCAACGCATCGCCTATATCAAACGAAAACAGCTGTGTTTGAACTGCTTTGCGCGGACACACCAGCTGCGCGACTGCGAAAGCGCACATAATTGCTTCACGTGCCGCGGCCGCCATCACACCCTCCTACACCGAGGCACCCCATCCCCAGCGCGCGCAAATCCAACGCCAACGCCCAGATCCAGACCGAATACTCCCGGTCCCTCGGCTGCCAGTGGCACGCAGCCAACACTTCAAAATTATTTTGCGGCAGGCTCTAGGTCAGTCCTCCTAGGCACCGCCATGATTAATATATGCCATCAGGGTTCCAACTACCAAGCGCGAGCCTTAATAGACTCCGGATCTGAGGCTACCTTCATTACTGAGCGCCTTTTCAACCTGATTAAGCTGCCGTTCCAGGTTATCCAAGCACAGGTCTCAGGGCTTAATCAAACGGTCTCCGCTGAGACTAAAAAGCTCTGCCAATTGACGATTCGTTCTCCGACCCGGCCTAGTTTGCAGTTAAACACCACTGCCTACGTGCTTCCGCAAATAGCCGGAAATCTTCCCTCATGTCCGCTTCCGCAACATTTCCTGCGAGATCTTCCCGAACTTCCACTAGCGGATCCAAAGTTTTATGAGAGCGCACAAATAGATCTTTTAATCGGGGCCGATATACTTCCTTCCATTCTACTAAGCGGCACCCGAGCGAATATCTGTGGCTCTCTTCTCGGTCAAGAGACCATTTTCGGCTGGATTCTAACAGGACCAGTACCCGCTCCGAGGCAAGATAGAATTTCATCGTTTTCTACGCATGTTGCACACACGTACGAAGCGTCTCTCGATAAACTCCTCACCAAATTCTGGGAGGTGGAGGATCTGCCAGTAAAGGTGGCAAAAGAATCCGACGTGATCTGTGAGGATAATTTCCTTCGGACCACCACAAAAGACGATACCGGCAGGTATGTCGTGAGTCTTCCCTTTCGAGATCCTGAGAACATGAAATGCTCCCTAGGACATTCCAGATCCCTGGCGTTGGCTCAATTCTTAAGAAACGAGCAGCGGCTAAAAAGGGACAGTACGCTAAAATCCAAGTACGACTCAGTAATTCAAGAATATCTCGACCTCAACCACATGAGAGAAGTCCCTCCTACCCACGATTCAGCGTGTTATTACCTCCCACACCACGCGGTGTTAAAACCGGAGAGTACGACCACCAAACTTCGAGTGGTATTCAATGCCTCCAGCCCTTCAGACAATGGGGTCAGCTTAAATGATATCCTTCATGCTGGCCCGGTCCTACAGTCCGATCTAACCATCCAGATCCTGAAGTGGCGATATTTCCGTTTTGTGTACAGTGCTGATATCGAGAAAATGTACCGGCAGATCTGGGTAGATCCGAAGCAGACAGCGTTCCAACGTATCTTATTCCGCAATAGAGAAGGATACATTCGCGATTTTGAGCTAAAAACTGTTACGTTTGGGGTCAATTGTGCACCGTTTCTGGCAATTCGGGTCCTGCAACAGCTGGCGACCGACGTGCAACTAACCCATCCGAGGGCGAGTAAAGTTATTCGTGGTTGCATGTACGTCGATGATGTCCTTTCGGGAGCTGACTCTGCAGAAGAGGCTCACCTTACCATTCGCGAGTTGCAGAGTGCTCTCGATTCGGCTGGTTTTCCATTAAGAAAGTGGACCTCCAACCATAAAGAAGTTCTGGCTCATATCGAAACCAATCATCTTTTAAACGCCGAGTTCCTCGAGATAGATACGGAAAGCACGGCGAAAACTCTCGGAGTCCGTTGGAAAGCAACATCCGATGAGTTTTTCTTCGCCCCTCCAGACCTATCCAACGAAGCCACGCTCACGAAACGTCATGTTCTTTCCCAAATCGCCAAGCTGTTTGATCCAGCAGGCTGGCTCGCTCCTTTCGTGGTCTGTGCCAAGATTTTCATGCAGGAGATCTGGCTTCATGATCTTGGGTGGGATGATGAACTCCCAATTGAACTGTGCCAAAAGTGGCGTGATTTTCTCCAAAGCTACTCGGTCCTAGATCAAGTCCGAATTCCCAGATGGGTTTCCTTCCGCCCAGAGTTCCGAGTCGAACATCATGGATTCTGTGACGCCTCTCAAAAGGCGTATGGTGCTGCGATCTATGTGCGCGTAGAAATTGGGCACACGACGCTAGTGCATCTCCTTACAGCCAAGACGCGCGTGGCGCCAGTCAAAACTGTGTCGCTTCCAAGGCTAGAGCTGTGTGGAGCTCTATTGCTGTCCGAGATGGCTGAATCCATCCTCCCCCATATGCCAGTGCTGTCCTCGAAACTCCATTGTTGGACCGATTCCACAATTGTGCTTGCATGGCTCGCCAAACCAGCATGCCAATGGACAACGTTCGTTGCCAATCGGGTAACAAAGATTACCCAGTCCACAGAGGCAGCCAATTGGGCACATGTTCAATCCGAACACAATCCAGCTGACTTGGCCAGTCGGGGAGTGCCTCTACAAGACCTGATCGACAACTCCCTTTGGTGGCATGGACCAACTTGGTTGTCAAAGCCACGAGATCAGTGGCCTTCCCAAAGCACCGACTTACAGGTGACCGAAGTGGAAAGGCGTCCTGTCAAGGCCCATGTGGCGTCCATCCCGACAGAAGACATCCTTGATCGCTTTTCCAAGTTAGATAGAGCTTTACGGGTCCTTGCGTATGTCCACCGTTTTGTCCAGCGATGTAAGAAACAGTCGCAGATGTCGGAAGTCCGTCTAGAAGCCCAAGAACTTGTCGCCGCTGAACGGCTCATGGTCATTAGCACTCAGCGCAGATATTTTTCTAATGAATATCGCTGCTTGAGTCAAAAGCGTCCTGTGTCCGCGACAAGTTCAATCCTCTCCTTAAACCCCTTTCTAGATCAGAAAGGGCTTATAAGGGCTTGCGGCCGCATAACGGCCTCCGAAAACTTGCGATATGACGAACGACATCCGATAATACTCCCGTACGAATGTGCACTCTCTCGACTACTGGTGAACTTTACGCATCTCATAACGTTGCACGGAGGTAACCAGTTAGTCGTACGTCTCACCCGGTCAAGATACTGGATTCCGAGAATAAAGAACTTGGTAAAGGCTGTGATTAACTCCTGCAAGGTCTGCGTTATTCATAAGAAGCGCTTGCAAATTCAGATGATGGGAAGTTTTCCGAAAGAGCGAGTGTCTTTTTCCCGGCCATTCACGTACACAGGGATGGACTACGCTGGCCCTTTCGACATCAAAAATTACACAGGCAGAGCGTGCCTAATTACAAAAGGGTATGTGTTGGTTTTCGTATGTTTCTCCACAAAGGCCATCCATCTAGAGCCTACATCCGATCTGACGACCGAGAAATTTCTCGCCGCTTTCGCTCGGTTCGTATCCAGAAGAGGTTGTCCCCGTCAAGTGCAGTCCGACAATGGGAAAACCTTTGTCGGCGCTGCCACCCTGCTCTCCCGAGATTTTCTACAAGCCGTAAAAGAGTCTGTGACTGATGCGTATAGTCATCAGCAGCTCAACTGGCAATTCATTCCTCCGGGGGCACCCCATATGGGAGGCCTGTGGGAAGCTGGTGTCAAAAGCTTCAAAACCTTGTTTTACAAGTCCACCGCTACTCGAAAGTACACCTTTGAAGAGCTTTCAACCCTCCTAGCGAAAATTGAAGCTTGTCTAAATTCCAGACCGCTATCTCCCATGTCAGAAGATCCTACTGATCTCTTAGCGTTGACACCAGGGCATTTTCTCGTCGGCGGACCTCTTCTGTCCATAGTAGAGCCCGAATTAAAAGGGGAATCCAAGTCCATTGTGAATCGGTGGCAACACTTAAAGGCGCTCCATCAGCAATTCCAAGCTCGATGGAAAGAGGAGTATCTCAAGGAGCTCCACAAGCGTAACAAGTGGCAGGCCCCGACCGCAAATCTCCGCGTTGGCGACCTGGTAGTCGTCAAAGAAGACAATCTGCCCTCGAATGAGTGGCGCCTTGGCAGAATCGACTCTGTTTTTCCGGGGGCTGACGGCAATGTCCGTGTCGTCAACATTCTCACGGCACGCAAGATTATTAAGCGTCCCGTGACCAAGGTGGTTCTTCTGCCAGGAGAACACTCCAGCCGTCTTCCTCAACCAACATCCTCCGCATAATTCTCCAACCATCCTCGTCATCTAATCATTTTTAAATCATCTCCATGTTTGTTTCTTTTTGTCCATTACTCCCTACCAGATCACATCATGGTTCCTCGTCCACGCAGCGCTCAGGCTTTGGAGAGCAGACGTACTCGAGGTTTAAATTCCTACCGTTGCCGAGTCTGCCGTGGAATCCATCCGCTTCGGAAGTGCCAGAGGTTCCTAAAGCTGAGCGCAGAGAAGCGGCTTCGAGCAGTGCTTGTCAACAAGTACTGCTCAAATTGTCTCGCTCACGAGCACTCTGACGTGAGTTGTCGCAGTGGCGACAAGTGCAAAACGTGCAGCGGGAAGCACCACACGCTCCTCCATATGCACGAGCGCCCTCTGCCGTCGGCTACCAATCAGCGTTCGCGCCGGCAGAATCCGCCAACTCGCCAAGCGCTGGCCCCGGCAAGGCGCTCGGCATCCGCCGCTTCTCAGCAGCGCTCGCGCCGGCAAAATCCGCCAACTCGCAGAGCGCTTGCCTCTCCGCCGCGCTCAGCCTCCTCGACACCGGCACCGTCACTGGCGTCCATCCTCCAGCGGCACAGTGTCAACGTCCTGCCGACGGCCATGGTAATCCTGGAGACCGGGCTCAAGAAGTTCGACACAGCCGCCCTCATCGACCCGTGTACGCCGACAAGTTGCATCGACGCATCCCTGGCTACTGCGTTCCGCTTGCCGACTACCACCGTCGGCGACGAGCGGATTTGTACGGCGACGATTCGGTCGAAGCGCGACGACGACTTCAAGTTGGAGGTGGTCCTGAAGGTGGAGCCAAACGTCCGCATCCGCACCCCCATCCGAGAGCTTGCTGACACCGTGGTCAGCAAATACAGCGACCTCCCGTTGGCCGACGAGCGGTTCTATCTACCGGCAACCATCTCCGTGGTCCTGGGTGCCGACGTCTACGGCAAGGTCATCCGTCCTGGCTTCCACCTGGTCGACGAGGGACTCCCAGTGGCCCAGCGGACGACTTTCGGGTGGATCCTGTCCGGTGCCTGCAACCTGTCCTAGATGACACGTGGGGCTTCGTTGCAACGCTAGCGATTGCAAGGGGGGCGGAATGTTTACGCCGCTTGCCCCGCTCTTAAATCCCCCCTCTTCCAATGCTCGCTCTTCCCTCGCTGGGAATGCCTACTTCCAGGCTCTCCCGCTCTCCCGCCTTCCCACGCCCGGGATCTCTCCACAGCGCTCTGAAGCACAGCGCTCATTAGTTTTAAGTTCAGTTCTCATTGTAAAACTATACGAAATACATCGCCCGGCCGGTCCGCGCTAATTACGGAAAGTTCAGTGTGTTCTCTTTTTTTCTCTCGCGCTTCGCGATCGTCGAGTGTTTCATTTCTCTCCCCCACAGCTTGCCACCGGCTATTGCAACAAGCCGCACCGCCACGGAAGCTGCCTTCAACGCCTAAAAGAAATACTTGCGACGCCTCCCACCAAACACTTAGCATCAGCACTAGAAAATGTCACGGGCTGTTTACGTCACAGGCTGTTTACACGTTCACATGTGATCACTTTGGTCACTTAATTAGTATAACCAAGAACACCCTTGAACAGGGGTCCCTTTGCTTGGCATTGAAAACATTTATAGAATATTTTTAACTGAAAAGAAACAGCTGAAAGCAAACACCCACCCCAATAGCAAAATTTGTTTAAAAAACTCAATGGAAACTAATGTTACATGAATATGATTAAATAAATAAAAGCGCATTTGATTAAATAAACAATCTCATTGTTTTTGTGGGGGAGTTCTCGAACTCACACTTTTTGTCCACAAAACCACTGAAGATAGGTTACACTAACAGATATAATCTACAATCCTAAGTGAATTAACAAAATGGACACGCATAATAAAACACCCCTCTCTCATGCTCCTACACACAATTTTCAGGTAAAGATCACTCTAAGCAACCACAAATTCTAGGCATGACCCCTCTCTCACACTCCTACACACCAGAACCAATCACAAATTCTAGGCATGAAAAAACACACCTCTCTCACACTCCTACACACAAATTCTAGGCATGACCCCTTTCTCACACTCCTACACACAAATTCTAGGCATGAGAAAACACACCTCTCTCACACTCCTACACACCAGAACCAATCACAAATTCTGACACCTGTGTGCATCTTAACGGTGACCCACACACTCCATTTCTTTTCTTTCCTCACACTCTTTCTAAGTGACCTTTTTTATGCTAACTAGATCATTATGACACCTGTGTGCATCTTAACGGTCACCCACACACTCCATTTTTCCCCCTTTCTCACCATTTTTCTCACCTACACACTCCATTTTTCCCCACCTTTTTCCCACACTTTTATTGATTAATTATGTTAATTAGGTCATTATAACACCTATGTGCTAATTAGGTCATTATAACACCTGTGCAACCATGCGTGACTAATTGGTGCTAATTGGTTTGACACGATCAATTAAAAGTGAGCCAGCACCCGTATTATACTACTACTAAAAACAAGTTGTTGAGAGCAAGCGACACAAACCCTTAAATAGGGGATCCCTTTGCTTGCCACTGAGAAACAATCACCTACCCCAAGCAAAAAGAATATGTAAATTTGAATTTAGCTCATGTTTATTTGGAATTTTGTAATAGGTTTTTTTTTTATACACTAAATATGAAAACATTAGTTTAACTCTTAAGTTAAAATATATGAAAGAGTTCTAAATATAGTCCCCAAATTAGTAAAATTAATTAGGGAAATAGATTATGAGAGTTGGCCGGTGGTGTTTCCTGGAGTACGGCGGGTGACCGTTACTTAGATATAAAAAATACGACGGAAGGGAATTCTATATGCTAATATGGTGTGATCAGGATGGCAACAGGTAGTTGTTAGCGACCCTTTTAGTGGATCAGTGACCTTTTACTTAGCATCAGCACTAGAAAATGTCACGGGCTGTTTACGTCACAGGCTGTTTACACGTTCACATGTGATCACTTTGGTCACTTAATTAGTATAACCAAGAACACCCTTGAACAGGGGTCCCTTTGCTTGGCATTGAAAACATTTATAGAATATTTTTAACTGAAAAGAAACAGCTGAAAGCAAACACCCACCCCAATAGCAAAATTTGTTTAAAAAACTCAATGGAAACTAATGTTACATGAATATGATTAAATAAATAAAAGCGCATTTGATTAAATAAACAATCTCATTGTTTTTGTGGGGGGGAGTTCTCGAACTCACACTTTTTGTCCACAAAACCACTGAAGATAGGTTACACTAACAGATATAATCTACAATCCTAATTGAATTAACAAAATGGACACGCATAATAAAACACCCCTCTCTCACGCTCCTACACACAATTTTCAGGTAAAGATCACTCTAAGCAACCACAAATTCTAGGCATGACCCCTCTCTCACACTCCTACACACCAGAACCAATCACAAATTCTAGGCATGAAAAAACACACCTCTCTCACACTCCTACACACAAATTCTAGGCATGACCCCTTTCTCACACTCCTACACACAACCCAGCGGCGAAAATTGCCATTACAAAATGGATTACGAATGCATTACTTCTCCTCTCGTAATAGAGAAACAATGGATTACAACATGGATTACTTTGCCATAGGCATGGCCGCCTTGTAATGTGGTCGGGAGACAATTTGCATTACTAGTAATGGGAAAAATATGCTAGGGCCGAATCACCTTCGGGTCTCCATTACGAATTCAATATACTTTTCCGAAATTGTAATGCAAAATGTAGACGGACTAGAGAAAATTCAACATACAATTTGAAAAACGTATGCTGAGTTGTAATGCATGTTCATTTATGAAAACAAAAAATATTCTTTCCTCATGTAGGAATTGAACATGGGTATTATTGTATAATGGATGGAAAGGCTAACCGCTCGGCCATTGTCTGTGCTTTTTTTAGTTCGTCAAACTATATTTAGAATGCATGCTGTTATTATTAAAGTTCCGAAGCTCAAACGTGAGGGAGGGGAAACGAAAAACGAACACATAGACAATAATTTTTATGTGTGTTTGTGATTTTTGACGAAGGGAAATCGTTAGCGAACGAAAAAACGAAGTCATAGGAGCCCTGATTACAACTTCTCTAACGAAAAGCAGCGATAGTAATCGGTTACATTTTCTTTACATGTAATGCATTTTTTCTCCAGACCCCATTCGCCTGTTCGCCGCTGGGAAATTCCAGGCATGAGAAAACACACCTCTCTCGCAAATGGACACGCATAATAAAACACCCCTCTCTCACGCTCCTACACACAATTTTCAGGTAAAGATCACTCTAAGCAACCACAAATTCTAGGCATGACCCCTCTCTTACACTCCTACACACCAGAACCAATCACAAATTCTAGGCATGAAAAAACACACCTCTCTCACACTCCTACACACAAATTCTAGGCATGACCCCTTTCTCACACTCCTACACACAAATTCTAGGCATGAGAAAACACACCTCTCTCACACTCCTACACACCAGAACCAATCACAAATTCTGACACCTGTGTGCATCTTAACGGTGACCCACACACTCCATTTCTTTTCTTTCCTCACACTCTTTCTAAGTGACCTTTTTTATGCTAACTAGATCATTATGACACCTGTGTGCATCTTAACGGTCACCCACACACTCCATTTTTCCCCCTTTCTCACCATTTTTCTCACCTACACACTCCATTTTTCCCCACCTTTTTCCCACACTTTTATTGATTAATTATGTTAATTAGGTCATTATAACACCTATGTGCTAATTAGGTCATTATAACACCTGTGCAACCATGCGTGACTAATTGGTGCTAATTGGTTTGACACGATCAATTAAAAGTGAGCCAGCACCCGTATTATACTACTACTAAAAACAAGTTGTTGAGAGCAAGCGACACAAACCCTTAAATAGGGGATCCCTTTGCTTGCCACTGAGAAACAATCACCTACCCCAAGCAAAAAGAATATGTAAATTTGAATTTAGCTCATGTTTATTTGGAATTTTGTAATAGGTTTTTTTTTTATACACTAAATATGAAAACATTAGTTTAACTCTTAAGTTAAAATATATGAAAGAGTTCTAAATATAGTCCCCAAATTAGTAAAATTAATTAGGGAAATGGATTATGAGAGTTGGCCGGTGGTGTTTCCTGGAGTACGGCGGGTGACCGTTACTTAGATATAAAAAATACGACGGAAGGGAATTCTATATGCTAATATGGTGTGATCAGGATGGCAACAGGTAGTTGTTAGCGACCCTTTTAGTGGATCAGTGACCTTTTACTTAGCATCAGCACTAGAAAATGTCACGGGCTGTTTACGTCACAGGCTGTTTACACGTTCACATGTGATCACTTTGGTCACTTAATTAGTATAACCAAGAACACCCTTGAACAGGGGTCCCTTTGCTTGGCATTGAAAACATTTATAGAATATTTATACCCGTTACTCGTAGAGTAAAAGGGTATACTAGATTCGTGCAAAAGTATGTAACAGCTAGAAGGAAGCGTTTCCGACCCCATAAAGTATATATATTCTTGATCAGGGTCACTAGCCGAGTCGATCTAGCCATGTCCGTCTGTCCGTCTGTCCGTCTGTCCGTCTGTCCGTCTGTATGAACGCTGAGATCTCGGAAACTACAAAAGCTAGAAGGTTGAGATTTCCCACACATATTCTTTGGCTTCCTACGCAGCGCAAGTTTATTTTATCCGAGCGCCACGCCCCCTCTAACGCCCACAATCGCCCACTAACGATTTTAAAATGGGTCCTGCGCCCACATCTTTAAAGATTTCCGAGAAGTATAAATGCAATTTTGTTGTGTATATTTATACCTATCGAAATGTAGAAGACATTTTTCAAATCGGACCATTCATTAAAAAGTTATACGCTTTATAAATTGTCAACATATATCTATCTCCCTCGCACTCCCTTTAGCTGAGTTACGATTATTAGTCGGGACACCAACCCGACACAGCGTTCGCACTCCCTTTAGCTGAGTGACGGGTATTAGATAGTCGGGACAACAACCCGACTATAGCGTTCTCTCTTGTTTTAACTGAAAAGAAACAGCTGAAAGCAAACACCCACCCCAATAGCAAAATTTG